AAAAGTTCCAAAAATCCAGTAAACAAGTCTCAAAGCTCATTTTGCCTTGCCAATCCCTTTAAAACCAGAATTCCCCGGCAACCTGGCAAACACCATGTGCGGAATTTGCATAATCAACGGACCTGTTGCTGGAGATTAGCCCCCGTGGCTGTCTGTGTCCTCAAACCCCAACACTCATCATCCCTCATCTCTGTCTGCCCCTGGTAGTGTTGATTTGGCCGTGATCGAGTTACTTACTGTGGGCCCTTTACCCAGAGGGCCCACTTATCCACTTACTTACCCACCCCAGGGGCGTTTGCCAAACATTCGGGGGCAACAGGGCCCCGGGGGGTCAGATATGGCAAAAAGCAAAAGGTTTTGGCGCGGGCGGGGGCCGAACTCGAACCTTGCGGATGGGAGGTGCGAATGTAACCCACTCGGCTTATGCAAATTTCGCTGAATTTTTATTCCGCCGAGAATTCATTTCGAAAATCTCTGGAAAAAAGTAGTGAAAACCTGAACAGAAGCAAATTGGCATCCACAAACAGCATACGGTGGAGTGGAAATTCGGCATTTTGACATTTTGACTTTTGAATTTCGGCATCGTGAGATTTCGCCATTCGAATTTCGAATTCTGAGCTTTCGGCATTCTGACATTTAGGCATTATAAATTTCATGTTTTGAAATTTATCGACTTTGGGGTTACGAAAGTGACATTTTGAAATGCCGATATTCTGAAAGTTCGAGTTTCTGGCATGTCGGTATTAACAATTTCATTACGACCGAATTTCGACATTACTGAATTTCGAGATAAAAATGTCGGCATTCTCGAAAATTCCATATTCTGAAATTTCGATATTCTGACATTATGAATTGGGCATTATGAATTTCATCGTTTTGAATATCGTATGTACGAAATTTCGGCACTATGAATATCCACACCTTGACAAAAACACATACCCCTTCGTATCTGCCAGCCCAATCAATTTTCGGTTTGACCGGCGCTAAATCCCCAATTTTACAGCCAATCGAGCGGTCAGTTGAAACATTCACACACGTGTTGCCGGCCCCTTAAAATGGCCATAAATTGCAGGAGCAAAAAACACAACTGGGCCGTCTCATATAGCCCCCGTAAATTGGGGGGTAGCGTAGCGCGGCGGGGGCCCTTGATCCACCACCCGACTGATCCGATCTGTTGCCCAATCTCGCCTTTCGGTTAAATTGGAGGCCCGGCAATCCGAGACACACCTCATCCCCCATGGGCGGGCAGTCAATTCATCAGACGCTATTATGCAACACGGATACTGTAGAGGGGGCACGAATTAAGATGTCACCGGCGAGGCGCCGCGCGTAATCTCGGGGGTCCAATTTCAAAGGGGGTAGCGCGGATGGAGATGATTGCTACATTTGAGAAAGATTACGGATACCTGTGTACAGGGGCGTAGCCAGAAAAAAATTTCGGGGAGGGCCCCGAAAAATTTTTTTCGAAAAACTCAAACATTAACGAGAAAACAGCGCCGCAGGCGAAAAATTTTGGAAAAAAAGGCTATATAGCTCCACAAATAGCAGTAAAAACGTGAAAAAATAGCGCCGCAGGCAGCAAAATTTTTGAGAAAATAAAAATCATATGGGTCCCCCCTTATGAAATTTTCGGGCCCCGGCCGATTTCGGGGGCCCGGGCCGAGGGGGCCCACCTTACGCTACGTCCCTGCCTGTGTACTGTATCTGGTGGCAGAGGTCGTCTATAAAGCTCGAAAACGGGAAATTCGAGAAATGCCTAGTAACTTAATGGGAAGTATTTTTATAATGTTTTTAGAAAAACAAAATTATATTATAAATAGAAAAACTATCTAAACACTTTGAAAAATTTTGAAAAAATTCGAAATTTTGATAAAAAACTGCCCCTTTTGGTCGAGAAACCGATATTGTTGTTTTTTTTACAAAATGTCGCGAATTTTTTAAGAAAGCAAAAGAACGCATGCGAAAGAACCTTTTTCAGTAACCGGGATCGATTTTTTTTGCCAAACGTAGTGGCCGAAGTAGCAAAAAACTGGAGGTGATCGCCCACTCGATCATCCCCAGCTTTACACCCGCCGGATCAGCCGTTTTTCTCCCCGAGAGCCCCACTGACAAATTTGCATAGTGGCCTCCGGGTGTAGTGTCGAGACCCCAATCCATCATTGACACCCACTAACCCGGGGTCAATGCTGTATGGCCCGCAGCCGTTTTCCGGTACAGCTGCCCCCGGGCGAAGATTCCCATCCAGGCCGATCAGCATACTCGAGGGCGCGGCTTCTTTTAAAGGGCCCTTGAAGCGCCGGAATCAGTAATGTGACGGACTGGGAAAGTATCTACGCGATTCCGTATTCCGGACCGCGCATCTGGCCCCAGCCCGACAATTATTCCAAAGGAGTCCGACTCACAAATCCCATAAATTCGCGGAGGGCGAGAGTAGGCCAATCGGCGCCCCGGCTTGAATACCCTGAAATAGGCTGCACCTACCTGCACCGGGTCAGCACCATATTCGAGCCAAGGTCAAACTCCCACCATACCCCAAACTCAATTGCATACTTTCGCCCCCTTGAAGATGGGGTTCCGCCGGAAACGGCACACCCGCTACGGGACTGTACCCTTTACGGGGCGGCCATAAAACGGGGGATCCTGGGCGGCAATATGCAGATTCGTGGGGACTGCCGGCTAATCCACTGTCCATCAAAACGGGCCGCTCAGCCCACTGGGCCCCCTGTAATAATGGGCTTAGGGCCCGCCGGGGAAGTGGCTTTGTCCGACCCGTAGATGGGCCCACAATGCAAATTTGGTGTCCCCTAAAAAGAGCTTAGACTTTCAAAATTAAATTTAGCTCAAAATCTGTAATTCGTAATGTCGAAATAGCATAATACCGATATGACAGCATTTGGAGATTTCGAAATACCGAAATATCAAAATTTCGGCATTTTTGAAAGGTTCCGCGAGATCTCCAAATAGCATCCCAGAAATTCGGCATTTTGTCGGCATTGTCGGTATTAGGAATGACGGCATTTCTCCCGTTATGGAACGTCGACATTGTCGGAATCTTTCGCTTTTTGCCAAATGTTTTGTCGGTATTATGCAAGTTTGTCCATTTGTCGAGTTTACAAAATGTCGGCATTTGTCGGCATTAGCAAATGGCGGCAATGTCGGCATTTGTCGATATTGTCAAAAGGTCGGCAGTGCTATTCACGGCATTATGACATTTCGACATTTTGAATCCTGATTTCCGCTATCTACTAGCACCCCGAAAAACAACAAAAATAGCGACCTGCGAAATTTGAATCGAAGCCCGTCAAGTCTATTGACCAAAGGGCTAAGCCCAAGCCATCCGGGGGCCCAATTATTCGCGGATTTCAGCCGATGGGCAAGCATGGCCTGCCTGTGATTAGGGGCATTTGTCGGGGCAACGTTGCGTCATCTGGGCCACAGGGCCCCCGGGGCCATAAGGGGAAACGGACGGCGGCGACCCGTGGATGAGCTGCCATAATTGGCAATTGTTCGGCTGGGCGCTTCTCCAGGTGCGCACCACCAAGCGCTAAAACGTGACCTAAAACCTAAAACAAAATTGCCGAGCCAAAATGACCTAAAATATGTCGAAAATGTTTTTAAAAAAACCAATAAAGCTATGCAGCTGATAATAGCTAAGAAATAGGCTAAAATTTATATCAAAAAAGTGCTTTGAAAATTTAGAAAACTTTTAAATAGAAATATATAAACTCGTTGAGCGCTAAAATCTGACCTGAAACATCTAGCAAAAACGTAGAAAACTTCAAAAACGCTGTAATCCTACGAAAAGTTAGCTAAACTCTCGAAAGAAGTATTGAAAAATAAAAACTCAATTTTTCTCCAAAATTCTAACAAAACCAATTTCTAAATAATCGGCATTACCTTAAGTACCAAAGTCTAATTTTTAATTTCCATTTCGATCACCCACGAAAAGCCCCTAAACTCGTTCACCCATCACTCACGACAACCCCGGCCATTAACTACTCCCCGAGATTCGTCGAATTCGAGGCAATTTGCGTGAAATTTGAGCAGCAGAACCCGCTATGTGAGTTGTGCCTTACAGCGGACAATAGCCCGGCAGACAGGTGCCTCCTTGCTGTGTCTCGTACGGCAGATGAGCCCCAAGATGGCCAGGTGGTGGTCAGCCATACCAAATACAGTCTTCCGCCAACAAATTACTCGGATACCCCCCGCCGGGGGTCGGGCGCTAATCTGGAGAGTGAACGACTTACAAGGAGACGTTTAGTCGGGTCCAAGCCTATCTTATACAGAATTTTGCGCTCATTACAACCCAGTTTTCCGAATATGCAAAACGATCCTAATAAGAAAATTATGAAGCTTTGACGGGCGAAAAACGGCCAACGTTAATTATACTCGGGGTTCTTATGGACACTTTCGTTTTTTTTGTTTGATCGATTGCCCGTCGGCCGTTACGAATTTTTGTGGCGCCTATGACGCGCCGGAAATTGCCAAAATTTGCATTCAATTTCCCACCCACCAGAATTTTCCATCCGCCCGCGACAAGGAACTGTCAAATTCGGCTAAACCCCGTGAATGCCTAATCGCGCTGTCCATTCCCGGCGAGTGGGGGAGAGCGAGAGAGAGAGAGAGAGAGAGAGAGAGAGTGAGAGAGAATGAATTTTGGGAATTATGCAAATTCCGGGAGACGCGACGCCCGCGCTTGTGTCCCCGGGGCGCTTCCCGACAATTAGGGGGGGCAGGGCTACTAATGAGTCGGCGCAGCAGTCAGAGCCACTTGGTCGCCGGTGTTGTGATTTCTGGGATTATGACGGGGTTTCGGCAGGGAATTAGATTCTAAACTCCGGGGCTTGAAGACGGCTTTTTCCGTTTAAATACACTTCCGAGTATCGCTTACACCAGCACCCGTCTTACCACGCTATAATACGCGATAATCAGTTGCCGCGATCTGGCACGTCTCGTCGGCCCGTGCGGCGCGACACACAGCCCACACCGCGGTGCCTCAGATGCCCGGGGGGGCCACCTGTCTTCAGCGGTTCCCGATCGGTGGTTCGGCCCGATCTGCGGCTGACCACCGGATGATCGATGGGCAACAAGCGTCGCTCCTTGCAATCGTCTGCTACACTCCATTAATCCGGGGATGGTCGCTGCGTATTGAAATTGTGGGGGTCGGCGTTGTGGAGGTGGTCAGGAGAACCTTGTGCTGAAAAACTGTAGAAATCGCTCTATGGAAATTAGCAATTACCGGGAAAATAAAAAAAATTAAGAAAATTAATGGTATAAAAATCGTAATCGTAATATTATTCTTTTTTTATTTCTTAAAATCGGAACGAAGCGACTCTACGCCTGAAAAAAAACCTATTAAGCTTTTCTTATCGAAAAATATCAATTAACAGAAAAACAAAAAAACACTGACCATTCGATCCAAATTATCAAACCCATTGCAGGCAAGAAATCTTCGCCGAGGTGAACGACCGCGTCCAAATCGTGTGCCCGTACTCGTCGGTGCTCCCCGTCCACCAGTCGATCATCTACCGCGTGTCGCAAGACGACTTCTTTGACTGCCGACTAGGGCCTTCTGCCAAAGAGGTAGCTGAAAACGAGAAAGAACATTATAAAACCGCGCCAGGGGTCAAAAATCAACAATATCTTTAGGCTGGGCGTTGTGTGTCTCCACGAGAAGCCTCGTCACTTTCTCTGGCTTTCCGGTCATTCTCACCAAATCCATTTGCGCTGGAATATCACCCAGATCGCACCTACTATTTCATCTGTGAGTTAAGCTTTATGAAAAGCCTTAGCGACTAATCATAAATCTATATTCCGAGGCTTCTATCAAATCACCATAACTTCTCTGGTTTTCAGCGACTTCTGATGGCTCATCTGAAGGCCTCGACCGTAAAGTCGGCGGCCTCTGCGAGTCGGACGGCATGAAAATGATGGTGCACATTGCTGAAAAAGGTAGATTAAATTCTTAAAAGCTAGTATCTTTCTCCAGGCCACCCACATCGACATCACCACCGAAAACCGGAGCCCAAGAAACCCAAGACAACACAGAGCAGCGAAACTGTGCAACGGCCCGAGCGGCCGTATCGCAGGCCGTACAACTATCATCCGCCGACGAATGAGGTCATCTCAACCGCAACAGCAGAAGCAAGCTGGGTGAGACAATGGGCCGACCCGTTGCCGTTGCTACCGCTAGATAAAATGGTGGGCGATCGAAAAATCTTAGAAATAATGAAAAAGGGACCAGTTAGTCCGTTTAAAACGTAATCATCACGATTTTCTAGGAGCCGGAATCCCCCCTACAACGCTCCCTCTACGAACTGGACCACCTTGGCAATGAACTCGTCGATCGAGTCGAATTCCAAATCCATGAGATCGGTGATGGTAAGTGTAATAAATCCCATCTAATCACGAATATCTTGCAGCCGAGGCATTCTCGTCGTCAGCAAGAAGTCGGCTCTGCTCCGCCATCATCGCAGCCGTGTTCCTGTTGTGCTTCTTTTAGCGCCAAAGAAGCGACTACTAGTCCTCGATGAAGCTCACTCAACTTCCAGCTTGCGGTATATCGATACGGGTCTCCCCATTAGGCATCAGCAGTCATTTGTGATAGTCTCTCTCTCTCAAACCTACTCACAAACTCATAAATACTCTACAATTTGAAGGATTGTGCTGTCTTTACCATCACGGGTGTTTGTTGTACAGTTGTATAAAAATAAATTTTATCTTCCCATGCGGGCAACAATAACATGGCTCAGAGCATAAAAACATAAAACTGTTTGGAACCCGGAGAATGTAGCCAAGCTTCAGGTCACTCCATCGGCGCTACGACCTTCAACAGCGGAGGCCTTCGTGGGCCGTGCCTATACAAAAAATAGAAATAGGGCGGGGAAAAGCAATAGCCTCACCACTGTAGCGGCAGCCGGTCAAGTTGAAAGAAGCGACGAGTGCCCTCACGGGTGATATCTGCGATCTGAACACAAAATAAAATTGCCTACGAAAAGTCTCACCTCGCGAAATGTTTTGCCTTTCAGCTTGGCAATGTAGGTGATGACGAGTGAGCAGGCCGCCGGATGGTTTGAGGGCTGTCGCTTGAACACCTTGGTTCCCTTTGGCGTAAGAGGGTAGTCCTTCTCCTAAACAAATGATCAGAAGGAAACTCCACGAGCACCTACACATTCCGACTGGAAATATGGTGCATCCGTTTCGACTAGCATGCGAGTCAGCGGGATCTTGGTCACGCAGACACGGCATGGAGGCGTGTCACGCAAAAAGGAGGGACCGATCCCTACAGAAAACGTAAAATATTTTGTTTTATCACCAACCGAAAACGCATCCAGGAACACGTTGCAGCCATTTTTCCAGAATTTCTAAGGTCTGAGGGGCGCAGTGCCGATACACAGGATAATTCGGACCAAGGATCTAAATACACATAAAAAGTTCAAGAGACCGGAAATGCTACCTGGATGATCAGCTCGATCATAGTATCCTCAATCGTCAGAATTTCATCTTTGAGTTTTGCTCGACAATGAATGACGACTGGAAGCCCGGCTTGTCTAGCGATGCCGAACTGCCAAGTCACAACCTCGATTTGCTTCAAAAGGCTCTCCTTTCCGTCCCTAAATAACCTATTGCTGGAGTGAAGAAATCTTACATCAAGTCAAGACCACACTCTCCGATGCCGCACACCTTGTAGGTTTTTCGTGCAGTTTCATCGAGAGCAAAGTGCTTGATAAGTTGACGCATAGTCCCTGTGCCCGACGTCAGTTTCAACTGATACGGCCTAAGAGGAACAGAAATCTCATAAACCAAGGCAAAATTACTTGTCAATATCTGCCGCCCGCCTTGGATGCATGCCAATTGTGGTTCCCATAATGTAGCCTTCCTAAGAAAGAGTTTAGCTGATTTTATAAAAACCTACAGTCAAAAATTCAGTGATCCAAGTGTGGTCAATGACCACATGTTCTGGAAAAACCAGATTCTGAATAAAGCCTTGGAAGTTCCACGGAATTCTAAACCAGAATGCACAAAGGAATAACAACAAACTTCTTGTAAAAAGTGTTCAGCTCGGCCATAGATGCCACATATTTGTTATTTGGGCTGTACAAATCAATGTGGGCATGCGCGTCGACGTACGGCGTACCATCTTGTTCGACCTGGAGGTGATACAATGTAGGGAAAGCACTGAGAAACGTACTTCAATAGCATGCATGCTGACGCTGTTCTCTTCGGCTTCTTCTAGAACGAAAGACGTTTGCAGCAACGGCGAAGCCAAGGAACTACGCTCCTCCTTGACCCGTTGAGGCGATTTCTTCCTACCGATATTCAGCAAAAGCGGTGCCTTGAAGAAAACCGCAATGTTAAAAAAAATTAGTATACCAAGAAATGATCATTGTTGTTATCGAGTGGTTCGTTCTTCACGACGGGTTCCCAGATAACTTTGGTGACACTCAGGTCCTAAACAAAAATTAAGAACAGATGCACTATTAGCAATTATATCCCTCGAACCATCCCCGTTGAAAATAACCACAAACCAAGGCCGGCTCCAAAAATTCCTCCTCGTGGAGATCGGTAGCTTCCTCTTTCACCACGGGGTTCCAGGTAATTCTCGGCGTATTTTCCGCTATCGTGTCCTAAACAGATATAAAAAGAAGAGGCATCGCTCACAATGCCATCACGCAGGCCACCCCATCCGTTGAAGAGCGAATCATCAAGGGCCGGCTAAAAACAATCATCATAAGCATGGTCTCGAGAAACCAACAGCAGGCGGCAATCTGAACATGAGTTTGGGCGACGGAGATTTCTTTCCCCTCCTCGGCTTGGGCGGCATCTAAGGCTTATCATTCAGGCGTCTGAAGATCTTTTCCAACTGGTAAATCTGTTGACTTGAGAACATAGCGTTTCTAACCAATTTTAGCTCAACTCTTTATCGTCTGAAAACAAGCATAGAGACGTCGTGGACAACATACGCATGTGACATGCCAAAAACTAACAGTGCAAACACAGAATCAAAATGACAATACAAATGTTACAGAGGAATCAACAATCACGAAGCAATGCGCTCAACCCAAGTCGTAATGTCTCGCAGCGCTTCTTGTGCGATGTAGAGTTCGTTGTGGAAGTTGAGCATCGCGTGGAAGCCGTTGTCGTAGTGTTTCCATTCAACCACCGTGCCCGCCTCGTACATCCGCTTCGCATACAAGACACCTAGGGACATTTTTACAGTAAAAAGATGTTTAATTACCTTCATCACGGAGGATGTCGTATTGGCAAGTCATCACGAAAGACGGAGGGAGCCCGGTGAGATCGTGCTGGATCAAGGGAGAGAAGGACGGGTCAAGAAGGCGTTCTTCCATCAACATCTGGAAAAAGAAATATTAGACGATAAGAGACAACACACCTGGGCTTCCTCGTTCTCCACGACAGCGGCCACCGTTGGTAAATTCTTGTGTCGCAGGCGGGTCGGGAGATTGTGCAGGTCCGTGTAAGTGCCAGTCAGATTTCGTACGCGTGCGGATACATGTCCGTTGGAAACAGCGGCTTCAGCAAGCGCCGGGCGATGGTTAACGTCAATTCCAGCGTACCACATGTAGTAATAGGCGAGCGACACCGGATCTAAAGCAAGAGGATCAGCACTCTGACGAACAACGTACCAACAAGCGCATAGCCAACCATGTCGCGGTGAAAATGCCGGAATGAGTCGGATTGCAGGTTGTGAAACTGCAGCAGGGGGTAGAGAAGAACCTAATACAAAAGTGATAACAAGTTAGTACAAATACCTGTCCAGCAAGTCGAAATTCCTTATTTTTGCGCAGACGTTGCGCCACAGCTGCGACGAGGTTCCCACCGGCCGAATCGCCCATCGCCACGATCTTCGTCGGATCCACATCGAATTCGCGGCTTCGTTCGAAGAAGTGGATGAGCGCACGTTCGACATCATGAAGTCCACCGGGGTACTGCGTTTCCGGGGCCAGCCTGTAGTCCACCGAAACGATCGGCATTCTTAGCCTAAAGCGAATGAATGAAGTCAAAGTGATCAATCATACATTTTGCCCATCCTCCGCATCAAGCCCTCGTAAATCTCCGTGTTTCCCATAACGAAGCCTCCGCCATGCACGAAATAAACAGCCCCATCCGACAAGCGGTTGCCTTTCGGCAGATAGAGGCGGACCTAAACAACGTAACAACGAAGACGAGTGCTGATACCTTGACCCCGGCAAAATCCTCAGTCGAAATCTGCAGCTCCGAGTCGTAATCGAGCAGGTTGCGCGGGTCAATCACTCGGGAAAGCGTGTCCAGCACGCTACGGGTCCACGTCAGACGGCAACGAGCGTTCGAGCATAAGTAGTTTGCGGGCCAGTAGTACGTCAGGCGGAGGGCCGGCTCGATCAAGTGCATGGCGAAGCGGTCAGAGAGGCAGTCGGTGAATCCAACGGGCAGCGGTCGGTGGACGAGTGAGAGGAAGCCGAGCAGTAAAGTCACTAAAAAAAAGAATATATGGAAACCGGTATCGATATACCTGCAAAGACAGCCGCGCTTGGGCGCGTGGATTTCTTCATGAAGTCGAGTTAGTGACGTGTTTAAGGAGCACGACTCTGAAAAAGATAGGTTGGAAAATATAGTGGAAAAGAAATCGAAATTGAAAGAAATAATAATGAATGACTAGAAGAGAAAGCACGATCAAATAATCAACTATAACCATTTTCTTGGGGTCAGTCCGTCTGCTATTGCTGCAGAATTCAACTCGAGGGGGAAAGGAGCTAGAGCTTACGTTTCTTCGAACCCGGAAAGAGCGCGGCTAGAAAATGAAAAACTGACAAAAATGTAGAATCGGGTCAGAAATGGACATGGGTTGTTTGCTTTTTTGTTGATAAGAATCGGGTCAGAAACGGGTATGAACGATCCAATAAAACCGTGCGAAAAATGAAATTTCTGGAAATCAGCCGCTCCGCCACGAGGGGTCACCGGCCTACGGTGGATTACCCAGATTATAAAACCCTACCGTCTATAGTATTTCCTCGTAATAAAATCGTCACCCCGGATCTGAAAATCTTCGAATCACCTATTTTTTTTCTGTTTTGTAGTTATTTTATTGTTTTTAACACTTTCGCCTAGGCTTCCCGTCTGCAACTATTCTTTTGGTACTATTGAAGTTGGGGGGGCAAAATTTTTTTGGGTCATTTTTGGGCTAATTGGTCAGTTTTTCGTGGCTAATCCAGCGCAATACTCAACTCCTAAGCTAAGCTAAGCCGAAGCACAGTTAAATTGAGCTTGAACAAAGCTAAGTCAAAGCCAAAAGCAATGATGCTGTGGCGAAGCCAAGCCAAGGACCTGGTACTAAGGCTTAGGCTAAGCATAGGCCTAAGCCTAGGTTAAACCAGTTCTAAGCCTAGCCTAAGTCAAGCTTAAGCCTAAGCCAAGCCAATACTAAGCTAAGCTAAGCCTAAGCCAGAGAAAAACTGACCAATTAGCCCAAAAATGACCCAAAAAAAAATTTTGCCCCCCACTTCAATAGTACCATTCTTTTTATTAGCGATTATTCAGACAGCATGGGGGGGCGTACGGCTTCATTCTTCTCAACTCTTTCGCCCTCTGCTTCACTTGAAAGTTGAACTTTGTAATGAAAGGCGACTCCTCTAGCCCAGTTTTTTACGCTGATTGCAAATATGTAGGCAGTTTTTGCCCAATGCATATATTTGTCGAGATATTCGACATTTTTTATGCTTAAAAACGGCATTTTTTAGCGGAAATCCACCAAATCGGCCGGTTTTAACTGATGCCTTCTGTGTAAGGTTAACGTTCCATTTCTGTTGTGTCTTTTGTCACGGTCTGTATAAGATTTCCTCGCCCTGTATTAATCGCAGGGGGGGGGGGAGACGGAATCGCGGATTCCCGCTGCACGGAGCCGGTTTAAAAGTTCACGACAAGCGCAATCGTACGAGTATTAATACTTAAAGGCGGAGGAGCATTCGGGTTTATTAATGTTAATAGGCGTGGCGGAGTTCGGTTTTTTGTGGGGATCTCGATGGATGTGGCTTGTTCATTTCTTCGGCTTCTTCGTCGGCTTCGGTGACTTGACGGCGACGGGCCTGCATCCCACGGCGATCCATTTAGCATACCGACACGGCGCACATTTTCCTAAAGATTTTTTGAATGTTGGTGCTCAAGTTAAGGTCACCTTTTCCTTTGCAATCACATTTTCCGTCGGTGGCAGCCACTGCGCGGCGGTCACGTCTGAAATGAACGTTGTACTTTGGAATCGCTGTGCTATCAGAATGTCGAAATCCATAAATACCAAAATAGCAGAATTTAGAAAAAACTTTTGGAAGTACAAAATTTTTCCACCCCCGTTATTTCTTTTTGCCCCGCCCCCCCGCTAAGCAACCTTTACCCAAACCTTGACCGCCTCCCTCGACCACAGACTGGCTAACAAAAGTGTTACTTGAATGTAAGCTGCTCGAAAAACCGACCCACAGTCTCTGGTGCACCGGGTGCACAACGTCGCGCCATATTTCGATGACACTGTTGTGGCCGTCGAGCATTTTGCACAAACTCCATTCTGCAAAATACATTTGATGGCAAAATTCCAAAACCCACAACTTTGGTAGACGGTCGGCAGGCCTTGGACCGAAGCCTCTGGCTCCACTGAAAATACGGTATTTTCCAACATTTGGGCAATTGATGTAGAAACCGAAAGGCCGGTTTTTTGTGAAAGGTGGGTACTGTACTTTTAGCAGGGGGCCTGCGAATGGGAAATGATGCTGGTTTTAGAATATCTGCTGTATTTTTACAGTGTTTTAGCGGATGTTTTTCATGGATTTTTGTCGTAAAACTCGTGAATTAAAATGCCTATATTAAAAACGAAAAGCGCTTGTTTTCTCGCCTTGCCGAGTGCTTTCGATAGGTACCTAAATCGTCAAAATCCGACCTGACTGCGGCCCTTTAGAGGGGGTGTTTTTGATTTGCACACCACCTTGTACATTGTTTACCAAAAACTGAAACAATTTCGGGAAGCATTTCATGTTTTTTTTTATTAGAAACTGCGCCAAATGCTATAAAAAAAATAGCCTTTACGTTGTGTGCAGGCTTGCATTGGAAATGAGATGAATAATTGCGGTTCCCCCCTGCTAACAGTCAAGTACCCCATGATGAAAAGAAGGGTGCACCAACCCCTGAGATGTTGCTGGCGTTGGTCGTATGCCATCCCAAGTCGTCCGAGGGTCGGTAGGTTGGGTCGTTGGACGTTGCGGATGACATCTGGAATTTCCCCATTTTGTGGTTCGACGGGTGGCTGGGTTTTTTTGCAAGGGGAAACCAAATTTTTCCCTGTGATTCTCAACGGCCCTATAAGGAAATGTCCAACTATTTTGATAGCATTTTACATAGTTTTGTGATATAAGACCACGATAAAAATATGCATATTTTCGAGAAGTCGATTTTTTCACCAAAATTGGATAAAAATGACCGAAAGGTCAACAATTTCGAATTTCCAAACTTTTTAACATAATTTTCATAACTTTCTAGCAATCAAAAACTGCTAACTTTAAAGACCACCAACAGGTATAAGTGGAAAGACAAAAAGCGGTTCCCCCCTCGCTGAAAATCCCCTTGTCCCCCGCTAACAGTCCAGAACCAAAGGAATTTCTACCAGGATCATCGAGGCGTTCGATGTGCCGGAGTGCTGGGTATCATCCACATTGGTGCTGCGGATGGTCGTTGTGTTGCAGGCCGCGGACGTCTGGTCCTGTAAAAGTTCCTTTTATGCTGATGGAAGCGGAGATGGAAGCGGAGTAGAGAGAGAGAGAGAGAGAGAGAGAGAAAGGATGCAAACATACCCACGGATGGCCATGCACATCGCGGGGCGCCTCATTATTGCTGCTTGTCGAAAAGCTGGAGTTGCTCGGCGGGCGGCGAGTCTGTAATACATTATATCTGACCAGCAAAAGTGTGTGTGTGTGAGAGAGAGAGAGAGAGAGAGAGAGAGAGAGAGAGAGAGATACCTCGGGGATGCGTCCGGTCGCCGTCTGCGTCATGGTGTTCTGGACGCACGTCATCTAGAAATGGAGATAAAATCAATTGAAGAATTTCCTTCGAGCTCAGCTAAGCAAGTGCCGCTGGGTATTATTTCTACTAGACCCAGAATGATCAAATTTGTGACTTTCAAAACACGTCTCTGACTTTCTCAGAAAGCTTTTCTACTTAAAATTTAGCTGAAACTTACAAAACTATATAAAAATACGTTATATTCCCTTACTACCCAGCCTGGACCAGCCAGGAACGAATTATGAAATGTTTTATTGTTTTTCATACATTTTTATTCAATAACTGGTTAGCATTTATTGATGCAAAATAAAAAACATTGCTAACGATGGAAAAAGCGAAATGTGGACAGTAATTTTGTGATTAATTTTGTGTGATGTGATCAAGACCAACAAAAAAAAATAGGAAATGCGTACCTGCTGGTATTCCGTGTTGGTCGTGTTGTAAGCCAGGTCGTCGCCGTTAAAGTACCCCATCAGTTCGCTTTTGTCGAAGCGATCAGGGATGCGTGCCTGGAAAAGTAGCGCATTTTTGCTAGTCGTGGTATTATTACGTGGTATGCGCAATAGATACAGGGAGAAAGAGAGCGATTTCTACCTGTATAATGGAAGCAAACGATGAGCCCGATTCCTGGGTGCTCTCCAGATAGACACCGACGTCGGTGGTCGGGTTCGTGGCCGCGATTGTCTTGTCCTGTAAAAGTTCTTTTTATGCTGATGGGAGCAGAGTAAAGGGAGAGAGAGAGAGACAAAGTGAGAGCGAGAGAGAAAGACAGAGAGAGGGAGATAGAGAGAGAGCGAGATAGAGCGAGAGAGAGATAGAGATAGATAGATAGAGAGAGAGAGAGCGAGAGAGAGAGAGAGAGAGAGAGAGAGAGAGAGAGGCGAAGTTCAAACATCCCCTGACCTCCCAAACAATTTCGATGACGTCGTCCGGCTCGTATCCAACTTCTCTCAACTGTCGCTCGTTCTTCAGTACCTGAGTAACTGAACATTAAATCGTTTTTGTAAAATTCCAACCTTTCCACGAAGCCGCAGCCGAATGGAGCCATGCGGATGGCCGGAGGGGTCCATATCGCTGATCATCCTCTGGATGGCGGAGATCTGTAAGAAAGGAGGTTCAATGACTCAGACTTGTCGACACTTGGGAGCGAATTTTCCATAATGGTTAGAAGGGATACCGAGAAGCCATCCTGAACTTCCATTTGGAAGAACTCGTCGTTGGTGGAGCAGAAGGTGACCAAGATGAACGCTTCTGGAAATATTGATTGAATAAAAAGAAGAAGAAGAAGAGTGGCAAGAAAGGAGTGGCAGAGAGAGAGAGAGACAGAGAGAGAGAGAGAGAGAGAGAGACTAACAGAGAAATACATAGAGTGCGAGAGACGCAGATATGCTGAGAGAAGGCGAGCGAAACCCACCAGGTTGGCGCGGCTGGTTCGGAGCGGCCTGGGGCGAAAACTCGTGCGGGGTGGTCTGGCGGAGACTGGCTGATCCTTGGCCTCCATCGTTGTTGGAAACGCTCACCTGAAATGTTAAAGCTTCAGTGAGTTTTGACTAGAGAGAGAGAGAAAGAGAGGGCGTGAGAGAGCGAGAGACAGAGAGAGACAGAGACAGAGAGCGAGAGAGAGAACGATACCGGTTCTCGTAGACAACCATATCTCGCGTCTCCTGGCTCGTCGTCTCAGTCCCGGATGTGTGCTGGGCCTTGAAACGGAGATGGAATGTAAGAATAAATTCCCTACTTCCTGGATTGTGAAATCCAAAAGTGTACGGTCGGGTCCTGCTTGCACATCGCGGGACCTCGCGCCCTAAAAAAAAGTGTGCTTGCGAGCGGTTACGGCATTTTTGCGTAGTGCCCAAATAAGCATTCGAAAGTTCTGGGCTGTTAGCGGGGGGAACAACTTTCCGTTGTTGCACCCATACTTGCGTGTTGATAATGTATCAGCTTTTTAGCGTGTTTCGGCAGCTTTTGATTGCTAGAAAGTTATCAAAAGATCTTTGAAGGTTTGAAAATTGGAAAACTTTGACTTTTTTTGAGATTTTTCAAACATTTTCACCAAAAAGTCATACATTTTCGAAAATTTTTATTATTTCTTAGGTTTGTTTTATGATTTAGTCTCCCACGCTAACTTTCCAGAACCCGAAGGCTTACGGGTTGAAACGGCTCGGTGATGTCGTAGGAAGCAGGGCGAGACGGTCGGTGGTCGGTAGACGATGGATTGGCCGATGACACATGCATTTGGAGCGGCACGTCTCGTTCCTGGAATAAGGAGTTCCCGTTCCAAGGAGTGAAACATGCGCATACCTTCATCAAAACAACGATGATAGCAGACCCCTCCTGGTAGCCACAACCACCGAACATCTCAGCGTCGTTTTGAAGCGCCTGGGAAACAGGAACTACTTTGTTTTTTCGTAAAACCAGACCTGCCCTTCGTGGATGAGCATCATCGGCGCGTTGGGTCGCCCCAGTAAGTTTCGGACGCATTCCTTGACATGACCGATCTGTAAAGGAGCCATTACTGCGCCGATTACTGTCCCGAATAGCCTTGATACGCCGTAAAAATTCAAAACGGGTACCGTATCAGTTGGCAGTACACGCATCAGCCATCGGTCGCCGAGAGACTTGAACTTCATCTGCACGGCTCGGTCATCGGCTAAAAATGTCGGAAATCAATGGGCGGAGAGAGAGAGAGAGAGAAGCAGAGAGAACAAGGCAACGACCAAAACCTACGCTTGACGCCATGTGCAACGCGAGGCGCGTCCTCACTGGCGGGGCGCTGACCGGCGGAGATGGTAGTGGTTGGCGAGGCCGAGCTCGCTCCGACGGACCCGGCATTCTGGTGCAGCCACGGGAAAATGCGTGGCATCTGAACGGATACGGAAAATTGTTCGGCAGAACCCACTTTTTTGTATAAGTCTAGAAATGCCTAGTAAGTTAATGGAAAGTGTTTTTTTATAGTGTTTTCAGAAATATTTACACGATTTAAGCTTAAAAAAAGTAAAAATCCTACTATATATAAAAAAAATAGTGTCTGTGTGTGTGTGTGTGCATTTGCATGCAACTTCCGTCACCGTGTTCCAGTAGTATCTCAAGAAGGGAAGTACTTAGGGGTATGTTCGATACGTCATTAGGTGCGTAATGGGCAGGAGATGACTGCACACATATTAGATCTGACAAAATATGATGTTTTCGACATTAAAATTAAGTTTTTCATGGAAAATCGGACACCCCAATTTGTTAGGATCAAATTAGCATGCACCGGAAGTCGCGGTAGCCTATATAAAGGGACGGCAAGAACATTTTTCATTTTTCGTCATCCGGATCCGGGAAAATTATGCAAAGCCAAAAATATCATTGGAGAAGACGGGGCCAGGGTTGAAAAGCCGCGAAGCGGTTTTCCAACCCTGGCATATAGTTTTGGCGGCATAAAATTGGCCCTTTTTCGTCGAAAAATCTATTTTTTTATTATTTTATAAAAATTTGAAAGGTTTTGACGCTTAGGAATAGGAAAAAGCCAATAATAAACGATTCCACTATTATATCTGCAGAAGAGATTCCAAGGAAAAAAATTTTTGGTAAATACCGGTAAGGACATTTTCCGCTCCGGCAATCCCCAGACGTGGGTGTTGTGGCCCAGCCCTCCGAGACGATGTTGTAGCACTTTGTTCCCAAGCGACACCTCTTCTTCGGTCAGTTTGCGCTAGAGTGACCATTGTTAATTCGAGTTTATCTCAACCACACTCACCTGGCTGTCAAGTTGTTCCGCCTTCAAAACTCTGGCCATGTGAGCGGAGCGGATTTTCTCGAGGAATTCGGGTCGTCTTGTCTTGGCGTAAAAGATGAGCATCTGCAAAGGTAAGCCGCTCATGGATATTTTAAGCATATAACGCTTGTTTGAGCATAGCTCAGACCTAGGCTTAGCTTAGGCTTATCTTAGGCTTAGCTTAGGCTTAGCTTAGACTTAGCTTAAGCTTAGCTTAGGCTTAGCTTAAGCTTAGGGAAAACCTCACCTGATACATCGGTTCGATGCCCAATTCCTGATAGGCCTGCGCCTCGCGCTCGACTTCGGAGAAGAGCAGGTAGACTTCCATCGGGATGTCGGGTTGTGGTGGCGCAGCATCGACGTCCTCATACTGAAAAAATTGAAGAGTTGACGGTGCTGGTCTGCTAAAGGGAATTTCTTTGGTATTATCGAGGGGGGGGGAGGGGAAAAATTCTTTTGTATTAATCTAGAAATGCGTAGTAACTTCATCGGAATCTTTTCTACATAACGTTTGAGTAAAAAACTTTGAAATTTTATCAAAAAGTTCAAATTTTGATCAAAGACGGCCCTTTCTGGGCCTTTTTATACTTGTTAATAAAAAATTGGGTACTATTCAAGTTAGGGGGGGGGGGGCAAAATTTTTTGGGGCCATTTTTGAGCTACCTGGGGCCAGTTTTTTGCGGCTAATCCAGCTTAAGACTCAACTCCTAAGCTAAGCTAAGATGAAGCTCAGTCAAATTGAGCTCCAACAAAGCTACGCCCAAGCCAAAATCAGTGAAGCTGTGACAAAGCCCAGCTACAGCGAGGGTACTTCACCCCGCCCAGAAGCTAAGCCTAAGCTTAGGCTAAGCTAGGTCTAAGCCTAGGGTAAGCTAAGCCGAAGCCAAAGCTAAGCCGATAATAAGCTAAGCTAAGCCTAAGCCAAAGAAAAACCCGAAGAAAAGGGACTGGAACTATGCGAAAAAAATTTTGCCCCCCCCCTAACTTGAATAGTACCAAAAATTGTAAACTTTTTGCGCTTAGGAATAGAAAAGTGGCATATAGAAACACTTCCAATATTGATATTTAGAAAATGGTTCCTAAGAAAAAATTTCTCTTTCCCCCTGATAATGCGAAAGAACCAAAAATAAATTGCAAACCGGACCCGAAAAAACGAGATGCGCGGCGTCGACATGACTTGGCTTCCCATTCTGACGAGTTCTCGCACTTTTTCGCCCCATACGCCTCTGATCTGCTGCTCAACTGCGATGTAGAGTTGCTCCAAGCGCTGCACGAGCACGACAAACAAGTACTCCTGCAAAAGATTTTGTGGCCCTGCGTGAAAAACAACCTCGCGCAAGAAGGACGTAAACACTTCGATCTCGGCCAGGTAGCAGAGGTGAAGAGCGAGGAGTAGGTTCGCGTCGAGGCCTTGTTGACGATGAAGGCCGCTCCCCTGAAGCGCCGTATAAAGCTGAGTACCATGAAAGGGAAGCGATTGAAAGAGAGAGAAAAAGAGAGAAAGACTTTTTTAAATTCCCGGAAATTAAACTTTTCAAAATGTCAAAATTTTGATCCTTTTCGGCATTTTCGCTACATTTCTGATCAAAAAGCCCAAAATTTTCGAAAATTTTGATTATTCTTTGATATTGTTAAATTATTTTTAGATCTAAAAACCACGCCGAAATGGGTTCTGTTCTATTTCGCGTGGGGGAAAAAACTGTGCGGGGGGAATTTCTTCGTTTTGATATAACTCTTTTATATGATGCTATTTCGAGTTGTCATTAAAACTCTTGGTATATTTTTTGACGCTCTATCGAATGGCATTAAAGAAATTTTTGAAAATTATCGAAAATGTCGAAAACTAGCTTTCGACTACACGATCCCATGTGGAAACACCGAATAAACCTTGTTTTTGCTATAACTATTTTATAAAACAATATTTTTAGATGAAATTAAAACTCTTATTATATTTTTTGATGCTCTATCGAATGACGGGCTCAAAATATCGAAAAAATGGCGAAAATGGCAAAACTAACATTCCGGAACCAGTTTCAATAGTTTTTTTTGTTTTTGCTATAACTTTTTTTTATTACCCTATTTTTAGCTAAAACAAAAACTCGTAGTATATTTTTTGATGCTCTATCGAATGGCGTTGCAAAAATCCCGAGAAAATAGCGAAAAGATGGAAGATTCCGCGAAGAAAATCCCCCCCGCACAGTTCCCCCCGCGAAATAGAACAGAACCAAATTTTGATTATTCTTTGATATCCTACTATAAAAATAGTGTTTGTGTGTGTGTGTGTGTGTGTGTGTGTGTGTGTGTGTGTGTGTGTGTGTGTGTGTGTGTGTGTGTGTGTGTGTGTGTGTGTGTGTGTGTGTGTGTGTGTGTGTGTGTGTGTGTGTGTGTGTGTGTGTGTGTGTGTGTGTGTGTGTGTGTGTGTGTGTGTGTGTGTGTGTGTGTGTGTGTGTGTGTGTGTGTGTGTGTGTGTGTGTGTGTGTGTGTGTGTGTGTGTGTGTGTGTGTGTGTGTGTGTGTGTGTGTGTGTGTGTGTGTGTGTGTGTGTGTGTGTGTGTGTGTGTGTGTGTGTGTGTGTGTGTGTGTGTGTGTGTGTGTGTGTGTGTGTGTGTGTGTGTGTGTGTGTGTGTGTGTGTGTGTGTGTGTGTGTGTGTGTGTGTGTGTGTGTGTGTGTGTGTGTGTGTGTGTGTGTGTGTGTGTGTGTGTGTGTGTGTGTGTGTGTGTGTGTGTGTGTGTGTGTGTGTGTGTGTGTGTGTGTGTGTGTGTGTGGTGTGTGTGTGTGTGTGTGTGTGTGTGTGTGTGTGTGTGTGTGTGTGTGTGTGTGTGTGTGTGTGTGTGTGTGTGTGTGTGTGTGTGTGTGTGTGTGTGTGTGTGTGTGTGTGTGTGTGTGTGTGTGTGTGTGTGTGTGTGTGTGTGTGTGTGTGTGTGTGTGTGTGTGTGTGTGTGTGTGTGTGTGTGTGTGTGTGTGTGTGTGTGTGTGTGTGTGTGTGTGTGTGTGTGTGTGTGTGTGTGTGTGTGTGTGTGTGTGTGTGTGTGTGTGTGTGTGTGTGTGTGTGTGTGTGTGTGTGTGTGTGTGTGTGTGTGTGTGTGTGTGTGTGTGTGTGTGTGTGTGTGTGTGTGTGTGTGTGTGTGTGTGTGTGTGTGTGTGTGTGGTGTGTGCCACTTTAGCAACTTCCGTCATTATGTTCCAGTCGTATCTCAAGAAGGAGAGTAGTTAGGGGCATGTATGATACGTCATTAGATGCGTAATGGGCTGGAGATGACTGCACGCATATAAAATTTATCAAAATGGCTTATTTTCGACATTAAATTTTAGTTTTTGTTGAAAAATCCGAGACCCTCTTTGTTAGGAATCAATTAGCATACACCGGAAGTGGGGAGAGCCTATATAAAGGAGCAGCAAACGCATTTTTCATTTTTTTTGCATGGGTCGGACCGAATTATGCAAAGTGTAAACTTTCATTGGTCCAGAACAGGGCCAGGGTTGAAAAGTCGCGCGAAGCGGCTTTTCAACCCTGGTTGTTAAATTATTTTTAGACCAGGGTTGAAAAGCCGCTTCGCGACTTTTCAACCCTGGCCCCGTCTGAGCCAATGATATCCTACACATTGCATAATTCGACCGAATTTCGATGAGAAATAATGAAAAATGCACCCTCTCCGCCGTTATATAGGCTTCCGCCACTTCCGTCTTATGCTAATTAAAGCCTAACAAAGAGGCTGCCCGATTTTTTAACAAAAAATGATTTTTAATGTCGAAAATAGCATAATTTGCAAAATCTGATATGCTTGCAGTCATCTCCAGACCATTACGCTCCTAATGACGTATTATATGTAGCCTAATACCCTTCCCCCCTTGAGATATCCTCCGGACACCCTGACGGAAGTTGCATGCAAAGTGTCACACACACACACACAAACACTATTTTTTTTATATATAGTAGGATCTAAAAACCACGCCGAAATGCTATAAAACTGGCTTATAGTATATTACAGAGCCGTCGAGAATCACCGGCAAAAATTTGGTTGCCCCCTGCTAAAAATTGTCCAGAACCACATGACACACATCCACAATTGAA